TTGTATTTTTGTAATCGAGTATTTTTTCAAATTTTATTTTTTTTTCAATTTTTTTTTTCAAAATTTAAAATTTTTTCAATTTTTTAAGGACCTTAAATCCAATAGTATTTTTTTTTTTTTTTTTGTTTGAAGTATTTTGTCAAGGTCCTTTAAGTCAATAATCGTGGATTTTTAAAGTATTTCTTCAAGGATCCCCAAGCAAAAATTGTAATTATTTTAAGTATTTTTTCAGGATATTTAAATCAATAATCGTGGACTTCAAAGTATTTGTTAAAAGTTCTTCGCAGCCGTAAATCGTGGATTTTTTAAGTATTTTTTCGACAACCTTTATGCCAATTATTGTGGATTTTTGTAATCGAGTATTTTTTTAAAAAAAAATCTATTCAAGGAACTTTAAGTCAATAATCGTGGATTTTTTTTTCAAAAGTGTCATTTCAAAGACTTTTAAGCCATTAATTGTGGATTAAAAAAATAAAAATCCTTTTAAGGACTTTTAACCCAATAATCATACATTTTGTTCAAAGACATTGAAAATCAAGGACCGTTAACCCAATTATCAAAACAATAATCGTTGATTTTTCAAAGAAATCTTTTCAAGGGCCTTGAAGCCTATAATCCTTAATTTTTCAAAGAAATCGTTTCAATGACCTTAAAGCCAATGATCGGTGATTTTTCATAGAAATCTTTTGTAGGACTTTTAGGTCAATACTCATGGATTTTTCAAAGAAATCTTTTCAAGTACTTTTAAGTCAATAATCGTGAATCGTTCGAAGAAATCGTTTTAAGGACCTTTGAGCCAATAATTTTGTGAAAAAAACCTTTTCAAGAACTCTTACACCAATAATCGTGGATTTTTCTAAGAAATCTCTTCAAGGAGCTTTAAGCCAATAATCGTAGATTTTTCAAAGAATCTTTACGAGGATCTTAAAGCCAATAATCGTGGATTTTTTAAAGAAATCTTTTCGAGGATCTTAAAGCCAATAATCGTGGATTTTTCAAAGAAATCCTTTAAAAGACCTTTAAGCCAATAATCGTGTATTTTTTCAAAGACCTTTAAGCCAACAATCCTGATTTTTTAAGACTTTTTTTCAAGAATCTTCCAGCCAATAATCGTCGATTTTTAAAATAAATCTTTTAGAGGACCTTCAAGCCTCGTGGATTTTACAATAACATCTTTTCAAGGACCTCTAAGCCAATTACGTGAATATTTTTAAAGAATTTTTCCCAAGCTCTACGCCACTTTTTTTCGAGCAAATGCTACTTGATATGGTATTCCAATAATCATAGATTGTTTAAAGTATTTTTTTTATTTTTTCAAAGGATTACTCTTGAATTTTTTCAAGGATCATTCGTGGAATTGTTAAACAATGTTTTTCAAGGGTTGTACTTAATTTTTTTTAAAGTTTTTTTGCAAGGGTCGTTCTTGGATTTTTTAAAGAATCATTCGTGGGTTTTAAAAGAAATTTCAATGGTTACTCTTGAATTTTTTAAAGATTTTTTTTTTCAAGGATTTTTTAAAGAATATTTTCAAGGATGGATTTTTAAAAAATTTTTTTCCATGATTAGCCGTGGATTTTTTTAAGATTTCATTGGATTTCCTTGGATTTCATTAACAATTGTTTTTTCTTTCAAAAATCAGTCGCGGATTTTATGAATCGAATAAAAGAATCCATCGAAATTTTTTTTATAGATTTTTCGAAGATCAGTAGTCATGGATTTGCCAAGGAATTTTTCAAGAATCCATCGCAAATTTTTCAAAGTGGATTTTTTTAAAAATTCATTAATTCGAGATATTTGATGATTTTTTTCAAAAATCATTCGTGGATTTTTGAAGATTTTTTTCAAGGATACTCCGTATATTTTTCACTAACATTGTGTTAAGTATTATTCGTGGATTTTTGACTAGAATCATTTGTATTTGTTTTTTTTTAAGAATCATTTGAATTTTTTTCAAGAATCATTAGTGGATTTCCTAAAGATTTTTTTTTAAGAATCATTCGTGGATTTCTTAAGGAATTTTATTTTTAAAGAATCATTAGTGGATTTTTTTACGATTTTTGTTTTTTGATTTTTTTAAAAAATGTTTTTCAAGGACCATTTGTGGATTTTTAAAGAATTTTTCACGGATTTCTTGTGGAATTTATTATGAATCATTATTATTATTTATTATAAATCATTCGTGGAGTTTTCAATTTTGTTTTCAAAAATCATTTGCGGATTTTTTAAGGATTTTTTTTTTCAAGTATTATTCGTAAATATTTTAAAGAATTGTTTTAAAGAATCATTTTTAGATTTTTTAAATATTCGTGGATTTTTAAGGAATTTTTTCTAAGATTTTTCAATTGTGGATTTTTAAAGAATTTTTCGAAGAAACAGTTGTGGATTTTTTAAAGAACCATTCGTTGATTTTTATAGAATGTTTTCAAGGATCATTCGTGGATCTTTGAACATTTTTTTCAAGGAATATTTTGGGGATTTTTTCAAGAGTACTATTTCAAGAATTTATTTCAAGGATTATTCGTCGATTTTTTTAATTTCTTGTTTTAATGATTATTCGTGGATTTTTTCAAGAAATATTCGTGGACATTTTAAATAATGCTTTTCAAGGATCATTGGTCGATTTTTAAAAGATAATTCGTGATTCTTTTTTTTTGAAAAATGTTTTCAAGGATCTTTCTTGGATTTTTAGGGATTTTTTTTTCAAGGATCATTCGTCGATTTTTCAAGTTTGTTGATTTTTTAAAAAATTTTTTTCGAGAATCATTCTTGGATTTTTGAAGATTTTTTTCGTGGATCATTCGTGGATATTTTGAAGATTTTTTTAACAAATATTTAAGCAAATGGATTTTTAGAAATGTTTGTCTGAGATCAATGGTAAAGAATTTCGTAAACTGATTCCTAAACCAATAATAGTATATCTTTTTATGATTTTTTCCAGGGTTAAAGGACCAATAACCGTAATTTTGTAGGACCTTAAAATTTTTCAAATTTTTAAAAGAAATTTGTCAAACTCTTTTAATGCTTAGGTTTTGAAATATTTAGAGTTTACACAATTGAGTTTTTTGCAATTTTTTTATAGGGCCATTATCCACGACAAAAAAATAATTTGTTTTATGGACACTAGAGATTTTTTTAGATTGTTTTTATTTTATGAAATTTAAGACTATTGTCAACATTCTTCAAAATTATTTGTTTCAAAGTCATTTGCAGCCATAATCGCTGTTATAAAAATGACATGGTGGATAATTTGACTACATCGCGGATTTTTAAAATAATTTGAGACTTTAATCGTGGATCTTTAAAGTCAATTTAGTCTATATATGTAGATCTTTAAAAAAGTTTCAGTATATATTGTAGGTATCAAAAGTATTTTGAGTCCCTGATAGCGAATCTTTGAAATAATTGTGTGGAATTGTGGATTTTTAAATAATTTGTTTTTTTAAAATATACTCTCAATGACTTTCGAGAAAATCTATCAAAGATATTTGAAGCTACAATAGATTTTTTCAGAATTTTATCACGGACTCCTACAACCAAGGATTTTTTTAATGATTTTATCAGGATTTTTTATCTGTTTTATTAAGAGTTTAAGATGTATTTTGAAACAATGAAAATTTTAAAAAAAAGTATAAGTCTTTTACAATGCTCGTGGTCTTAAAAATAAGTCTATTTCCAATATAAGCTCATATAAATTATAAACTATATATTTTAACCTTTCCAAATTTGGTTTTTATTTATTTATATTATAAATATCATAAAATAAATATACATATACATATATCTAGCAAAAAATATATTGTTAGTATCTATTCACTAATTGCACTCTAATCTCATATCATTCTAACCCTTTTCAAAATTAAAAAAAAAACAACAATTCCATTTTTTGTATAATTTTTCAATAGCGAAAATAGCAAAACGTTAAAAATGGAAAACATCAACAAAAAATAATAATAAAAGACAATATCAACAACAACAACACCAAGTGAAACAACAACAACACCAAGTGAAACAACAACAACAAATGCAATATATTTCGTTGATGTTGAACAAAAATTGGCCATGGCTAAAACTTGGATGCCGAGCTGCCTTCATGGCCAAACCACAGAAACAACAAATCAGTGTTAAGCCAAAATTGTGTCATGTGAATATCGGTTAAGATAAAAACACTCGCCACGCACACACACAAACGCATTCACTAACTCATACGCACCTAACTCGAATCCACCATTACAAGGGGATACACAAATAATATTAGTCACACACAAAACTCAAATGTATGTGAAAAGGTACGAGTACGAGAATGTGGACATGTTTACTCACTAAACCTGTACCAACAACGCATATTGCTGTTGTTGGAGATTTATTTTGAAACGAAAGATCACAAAAGTTGAAAAACCAAAAAAAAAAAAAAAAAAAAAACAAATAAACACGTTGAAATCCGAATGAGAACTACAGATGGCAAGGTTAAATTTATTTTGTTGCTACAGTTATTCATCGGAATTATCTGGGAAAATAAAAGGTACTGGGAAGTAAACAGGTTTGTTTTGAAAGGAAATAGAGAAGTTAATTCAGGAGAATAACGATATTTTCCTATGTGTTGTTCTAAATACCCAGAAAAATAAGCGGCATTTTAAGAAAATTTAGGGTGAATGTTGATATAACTTTACACTAAATCAACAAGGTATTGTACCTCAATTACTGGGAATATTATCACGGTCTTATTTTTGAAAAAATATTATTCCAGAACATAAAAAGTATCAACAAAAAAAATAATTCGATTGGATTGGAGTCAGACCATTTAGTCTGACTAGTAAAAAGTTTGCATATCGTATTATTTGTGTCAAATTTCCATAAATTTCGATAATGGGTTATATTAGACGACTACCTCCTGTGACGACGTGTTTTCACTTTGAAGCTGGGGTAGGTTCAGCGGGGGCCAGAGTCGTCACAAAAATTTATTTGTTAGGACATAAAGAGAGAGAGAGAGCGAAGCAAAAATATTTTCTTAAAACGTTATAAATTTATTTCCTTAAATAACACTAAACACTACACTAAACACAATAAAATCACGTTCAGAACGTTTTACGAAGAACACTAAATCACAAAGTTCAGTCGAAATGTTAATAAACGGGTAGCAGTGGTGGCAGCTTGGCACAGCGGCGGCCCGATGAATAGGCGAGCGACGAATAGAGTGGCGGCAGCTTGGCACAGCGGCGGCCCGATGAATAGGCGAGCGACGAATAGGGTGGCGGCGGCTTTGGCACAGCGGCGGCCCGATGAATAGGCGAGCGACGAATAGTAGTGGCGGCAGCTTGGCACAGCGGCGGCCCGATGAATAGGCGAGCGACGAATAGGGTGGCGGCGGCTTTGGCACAGCGGCGGCCCGATGAATAGGCGAGCGACGAATAGGGTGGCGGCGGCTTGGCACAGCGGCGGCCCGATGAATAGGCGAGCGACGAATAGGGTGGCGGCGGCTTTGGCACAGCGGCGGCCCGATGAATAGGCGAGCGGCGAATAGGGTGGCGGCGGCTTTGGCACAGCGGCGGCCCGATGAATACGTCAGCGGCGAGTAGTAGTGGCGGCAGCTTGGCACAGCGGCGGCCTGATGAATACGCGCACGACGAATCGGGTGGCGGCAGCTTTGGCACAGCAGCAGCCCGATGAGTACGTCAGTCGCCGTCAACGCAGCCCGAAGAATAGGGAGTATTGCTACAGCCCTCACTCGACCCTGCGTTCAGTCGCCGTCAACGCAGCCCGAAGAATAGGGAGTATTGCTACAACCCTCACTTGACCCTGCGTTCAGTCGCCGTCAACGCAGCCCGAAGAATAGGGAGTATTGCTACAACCCTCACTTGACCCTGCGTTCAGTCGCCGTCAACGCAGCCCGAAGAATAGGGAGTATTGCTACAACCCTCACTTGACCCTGCGTTCAGTCGCCGTCAACGCAGCCCGAAGAATAGGGAGTATTGCTACAACCCTCACTTGACCCTGCGTTCAGTCGCCGTCAACGCAGCCCGAAGAATAGGGAGTATTGCTACAACCCTCACTTGACCCTGCGTTCAGTCGCCGTCAACGCAGCCCGAAGAATAGGGAGTATTGCTACAACCCTCACTTGACCCTGCGTTCAGTCCAGTCCAGTCACCACAAATAGTCAAGGCTTATTGTTTGGCTTACTAAGACTCAATTCAACCGAGGTTGCGCGCCTTTTCTTCCTCCCAATCACACTTGACTTACCAGCCATCAACAGAAGACTGATCTCGATTGTGTGAAATGCGTCTCCTTTTATACCTTTTTGGCTGGACAACGATTGTTGTTTTCTCATGACAGCAGCTGATCCCAATCTGACAGTTTTGCGTAGTTCCGCCATTTGCCACCAGGGGTTCCAATGTTGTATTTTAAGTATACTTCTTTCTACTAGGGGACGTAAAAATGGTATTTAAAATAATAATGTACCCCAAAAACGAAAGCATGACTTTTGGGCGTTACATGGCATCTCTTCCTCCCTCTGATTTTTGATTCCTTGATTTGCTTTCTCTATTGCTATTGGGTTTCAATAGCCAGGAAGCCCTAGGGTGTTATGTAACCTTTTATTTCTCCGACATGGGCACTTTGGTTCGACTATATCTCGGTCGAATAGGAAGGTATGTTAGAGACCAATTGCAGAAGTTCGGAGAGATACCTTCACTACCCCGTCTGCTGATATTATTATGCGGTACTGCTTGCCATCTTGTTTAACAATTCGCTTCAGTTTGTGTCCCTTTTTCCAATTGTTTTTAAACTTCTCGATACGGATTTGTAGGTTTTCGGGATAATTTGGCAGTTCGAGAAATGTGTTATCGTTCACGGGATTGTCTGTCGAGGACGATGGCGTTGACTCAGTTGGGATTTCAGTGACTGGCAATTTGATTGTACTTGGTGTACTATTATTCTCCTTACTGGGTATAAACACTTCATCGATGGAAGGTTGACTGCTACACAATGTTGGCTGATGAGGTGTCATCGTTTGGCTTGTGGATGATGATGAAGACGACGAGGCTGATGAGGATGAGGATGACGATAAAGACGACGAGGCTGATGAGGATGAGGATGACGATCGGGAAGATATCGATGGTCTTTGAAGTATGGGCTTATATTAGGACACTGATTAGTTTGGGTATTGTCAATTTAATGTCTAAAAATAAAATAAGAAATTATAATGAAATGGCATCACATAAACGTAAGTGGAACTACAATCAACATTCTACTTCTATGTCTACAATTTAATTTTGTTCTTCATAAAAAGGCTTAATTTCACTTAAGTGCGCGACACGGGTGATGTTGTCTTTTCCTTGGACTACAACGATTACTGGAGATTGGAATTTTTGTACGACAAACGGCCCTCCGTATTTGGGCGCTAGTTTGGCGGCGAAATTTTCGACGGCCTTCGACTGAGGATGTAGACGAACTAGAACTTGCTCCCCAATCTTTGGTTTCCAAACTCGTCGTCTAAGGTTGTACTGTCTCCGCTGGTTTTGAGATGCTTTTGCCAAGTTTCGACGCACTATCTTAAATATTTCTTTCAACTCCTGGGCACGGTCTTCTGGTAAGACTATTCTAGCACCAGTTCCTGTTGTGAGCTGATCATATAATGCCTGGGGCAGTCGCGGTTCTCTTCCTTGTGTCAGGTATGCCGGCGAATATCCAGTGGATTCTGATGCACTAGTGTTTATGGCTAACATTATTTCGGGCAGCATATCGTCCCATGTATTATGTTGTTTCGAAACTTGTGCTATCATTGTTTTCACTGTCCGATTTGTCCTTTCAGTAGGGTTCTCTTGCGGGGTGTAAGGAGCCGTAAGTTGATGCTTTATACCCATTTCTGCTAGGAATTTTTCGAATTGGTTGCTAGTGAATTGGGTTCCGTTATCGGTTATCAATATTTTTGGAACCCCATATCTAGAAATAATTCTTTCTCTGCATGCCTTTATTAATCCCTCTGTCGTAGCCTTCCGCAATGGAACCAACTCCGTCCATTTTGAGAATCTATCCATAATAACGAGTAGCATTGAGTTACCGTGCTTAGATCGCGGTAGGGGTCCTACGAAGTCCGCACAAATAGTGGCCCATGGTTCCTCCGGGATTCTTATCAACATTTCCCCTGCTGGTTTCTGTTGGCTGACTTTATATTTTTGGCAACATTCGCACTGCTGGACATAACGTTTGATGTCCTGGAACATACCAGGCCAAAAATATCGGTTCGCCACCTTGTTGCTAGTCTTTCGCACTCCCAAATGACCTCCGGTGACACTGTCATGATTTTCTCTAAGGACCTGAATCCTTGATCCGGTGGGCACACACAGCTTCCATGGTGTGCAATCTTCATCGTTTATTTGCTTGGGAAAATGTCGATAAACATTTCCCTCAATGATTGTATAGTCTGGATACTTCTTCGGATTCTTGGTTATGGTTTCCTTCAACTTTTCTAGCCATGGGCACGGACTGGTGTCATATTTTACTGTGGCTAGGTCTAACGTTTCCAAAGGTGTTCTCGAAAGCGCATCCGCCACAACGTTCTGTTTTCCTCTACGGTATCTGATCAAAAAATTATATTGCTGTAGCTCGAGAGCCAACGTGCGAGTCGACCTGTAGGGCTTTCAATAGAATTTAACCATTTTAGGGCCAAATGATCGGTAATAACTATAAACTGGTAACCCTCTAAATAGGGTCTCATGTGTCTGATGCCCCACAGTATGGCTAGACATTCCTTTTCAGTCGCTGAGTAGTTCTTTTCAGCCTGTTTTAAATGTCTGCTGGCGTAGGCTATGACACGTTCCACGTTATCTAACTCCTGTGTTAGAACTGCTCCAAGGCCATAGTTGCTGGCATCAGTTTGCAATATGAACGTCTTTGTGAAATCCGGACAAGCCAGAACGGGGGCTTCAGTTAACTTTGCTTTTAGGTCTGAGAATGCTTCTTGTTGTTCGGGACCCCATTTCCAATGTTTTCCCTTTTTAAGAAGACTAGTCAATGGTTGTGAAATTGTTGCAAACTGTGGGACAAATCTTCGGTACCAAGATGCTACTCCAAGAAATCTTCGTACCTCCTTTACCGATGTTGGAGGTTTCATTTCCACTATTGCGGCAACTTTATCTGGATCCGTCTTTATTCCCTCGCTACTCACAACATGGCCTAAATACTTCGTTTCTTTTCTGAAAAATTCGCATTTCTCAATGTTTATTCTCAGGTTAGCTGCTCGCAATCTTCTGAACACTTCTCTCAAGTTCCGCAAGTGTTCCTCAAACGTTTTTCCAATGACGATGATATCGTCAAGGTATGCAAAAGCGTGGGGGTCCATTTCAGGCCCAATCACACTATCTAATGCCCGTTGGAAGGTTGCCGGTGCTGAATGCAAACCGAAAGGCATCACTTTCCACTGATATAGACCTTTACCAGCTACCGCAAAGGCCGTGTATTTTCTGCTCTCCTTCGCCATAGGTATTTGCCAATATCCGTCTTTAAGGTCCAGGCTACTCACGTATTTGGCATCCCGTAGTCGATTCAGTATTGTGTCGATGCGGGGTAAAGGGTAGGCATCTGGAACAGAACGTTTATTCAATTGGCGAAAATCCATACAAGTTCTCCAATTCCCATTTTTCTTTCTGACTAATGTGATGGGGAAACAGTATGGGCTTGTAGACGGCTCTATACATCCTCGTTCTTCGAGCTTTCTCACTTCGGCATTAATCACGGCTTGCATTGCAGGATTTCGCGGAGCATATCTTAATTTAATGGGTCGATCGTCGGTCATTACAATCTTATGTTCAGCTATTGACGATAGGCCATTTAATTGTTGGAACTTAGGGAGTTCCTGTGCCAGAAAATTTTCAACGATCTCACATTGCGTTTTACTCAATTCATCGTTTAAGAATTTAGGTCTGGGGGATACATTATTCGTAGCTGTCATGGTATCTATTACCTCTTTTGATGGGGTTTCCTCTCCTATAGCCACGGTACAATGCTCCGTTGATGTGGTTGGCTTACTTAATTTGACACTTATACCGGCGCAGTGAATGGTCGTGTGGAACTGTTTTAGAAATTCCAATCCCAATATGATGTTTTCCTTGAATTGCGGCATGATGAGAAATGTAACATCTGAGCTTTGGTTTCCAAATGTAACAGGTAACACTGTTGATCTTGTGATGTTCACCGTGGTGCCGTCTGCGAGGATAACATTTGCCTCATGCCGTGAATAAGTAAACCTTTTCTTGATTTTTTCGCAAATTCTCTTTTTATAAAACAGCTAGTGGCACCCGTGTCGACAGTTGCTTTAATAGCTTTCCCCTCTATTAAGACAGTTGCAGTAAGGCGATATTCTTCACATTGCAATGAGGTAATATTCTGGTTACTCTTCTTTGCCGGGGGTTCATCCTGCTGCGTTTCTGGATTGGATGAGCTTTCGTTTAGCACTTGGTCACCTTGATTGGTGCAATACAGGTTATTTCTAGAGTTGTCCGCACGTCGATTATAGTTTTGTTGATTTCGAGGCTGTTCTGACCGAGAATTATTTGGTATGCTTTCGAGTTCGTCTGCCAAAGAGATCAATTCCGAAAGTGTGGTAAAGTCTTTACGGCGAATGTACCATTGATAATCCGAATGCGCGTTTCTAAAAATTCGTTCCAATTTTTGTTCTTCGGTCATATTGGTGTGCTGCATAAGATGCTGTATAGAGAGTACATATTCCTTAAACGGCTCCTTATTACGCTGTATCCTTCTCCTAATTTCATCCTCCAATTTCTCAAAGTATCTCGGTGGCAAAAAGAATTTCAGAAAATCACTCTTAAATTCGTTCCAGGTAGTCCAGTGTCGGTTGTTGTTCCTTAGCCAGATTAAAGCTTTACCTCGTAACAACTCTGGCATTACTTTAATTATTTGATTCAATTCCACGATGTACATTTCAGCCATTTCTTCTACACGTTCTACGAATCCAATAGGGTCCATTCCATTTTCAAAAGTAACATTCCATTTTCGGATTTGGTCGAGAATTACGAGTAACGACGAATTATTGGATGGCTTGGGCGGAGAATCTTTTTGAAATCCATATTCGGGGTTTGTTGGCGACATCTTCTGTACTTTTTGATCGTTTGTTACCCCTGTGCTTGACTCTCCAGGTGGCCTTTCCGCGGAAATGTGGGGAAGGGCGTACTCTGTTTTTATTGGGGATAATACTATTGCTTCTGCTCCACACGGTGTTACGGTTATAAGGGGTTGTTTTGTGACGGCTCGCAATGTCGGCGATTTGGTCGGACTGGTACTTTCATGTTTGTTCTGCAACTCTATAAGCCGTCTGTATACATCGGCTTCATGGTCGTTGTGGAGAAATTTAGCCCATCTTTTTCGGAGATCGTCCACTTTTCCAACTGGATCAAGATTGAATTCAGTAAGATATGTTACCAAGTCTTCTTGCTTTAGCATATAGGCCCAGGAGACCTTCAACATTGTCTTTTCGTTTGACATTTTTTTTTTTTTTTTTTTTTTTTTTTTATTATTTTTACTTGTTTCAGTTTTTTTTTTTTTAACTGTTTTTTTTTTTTCACTGGGTTTTCATCTGTACTTGTCTAATTATTGTTCACTCATTTATTTATTCTTTCTCTCTTTTATAGTCCCTGCTCGGGCGCCATTGTGACGACGTGTTTTCACTTTGAAGCTGGGGTAGGTTCAGCGGGGGCCAGAGTCGTCACAAAAATTTATTTGTTAGGACATAAAGAGAGAGAGAGAGCGAAGCAAAAATATTTTCTTAAAACGTTATAAATTTATTTCCTTAAATAACACTAAACACTACACTAAACACAATAAAATCACGTTCAGAACGTTTTACGAAGAACACTAAATCACAAAGTTCAGTCGAAATGTTAATAAACGGGTAGCAGTGGTGGCAGCTTGGCACAGCGGCGGCCCGATGAATAGGCGAGCGACGAATAGAGTGGCGGCAGCTTGGCACAGCGGCGGCCCGATGAATAGGCGAGCGACGAATAGGGTGGCGGCGGCTTTGGCACAGCGGCGGCCCGATGAATAGGCGAGCGACGAATAGTAGTGGCGGCAGCTTGGCACAGCGGCGGCCCGATGAATAGGCGAGCGACGAATAGGGTGGCGGCGGCTTTGGCACAGCGGCGGCCCGATGAATAGGCGAGCGACGAATAGGGTGGCGGCGGCTTGGCACAGCGGCGGCCCGATGAATAGGCGAGCGACGAATAGGGTGGCGGCGGCTTTGGCACAGCGGCGGCCCGATGAATACGTCAGCGGCGAGTAGTAGTGGCGGCAGCTTGGCACAGCGGCGGCCTGATGAATACGCGCACGACGAATCGGGTGGCGGCAGCTTTGGCACAGCAGCAGCCCGATGAGTACGTCAGTCGCCGTCAACGCAGCCCGAAGAATAGGGAGTATTGCTACAGCCCTCACTCGACCCTGCGTTCAGTCGCCGTCAACGCAGCCCGAAGAATAGGGAGTATTGCTACAACCCTCACTTGACCCTGCGTTCAGTCGCCGTCAACGCAGCCCGAAGAATAGGGAGTATTGCTACAACCCTCACTTGACCCTGCGTTCAGTCGCCGTCAACGCAGCCCGAAGAATAGGGAGTATTGCTACAACCCTCACTTGACCCTGCGTTCAGTCGCCGTCAACGCAGCCCGAAGAATAGGGAGTATTGCTACAACCCTCACTTGACCCTGCGTTCAGTCGCCGTCAACGCAGCCCGAAGAATAGGGAGTATTGCTACAACCCTCACTTGACCCTGCGTTCAGTCGCCGTCAACGCAGCCCGAAGAATAGGGAGTATTGCTACAACCCTCACTTGACCCTGCGTTCAGTCCAGTCCAGTCACCACAAATAGTCAAGGCTTATTGTTTGGCTTACTAAGACTCAATTCAACCGAGGTTGCGCGCCTTTTCTTCCTCCCAATCACACTTGACTTACCAGCCATCAACAGAAGACTGATCTCGATTGTGTGAAATGCGTCTCCTTTTATACCTTTTTGGCTGGACAACGATTGTTGTTTTCTCATGACAGCAGCTGATCCCAATCTGACAGTTTTGCGTAGTTCCGCCATTTGCCACCAGGGGTTCCAATGTTGTATTTTAAGTATACTTCTTTCTACTAGGGGACGTAAAAATGGTATTTAAAATAATAATGTACCCCAAAAACGAAAGCATGACTTTTGGGCGTTACACTCCATCATACCAATAACAGAAACAAACAAAAAAAAAAAACAAGTAAAGAAACATTAAGTTCGGCCGGGCCGAACTTTTAATACCCTCCACCTTAGGGTAATGCAAAATGTAGCAAAAATCAACAAAATCCGGAATATCGGGAATATCGGGAGGTACCGCTATATAGGGCTATACAAAAACGTGGACCTATACATACAATGTTTCGCCAACGGAGGTAGAACCTATTATGACAAACTAATTCCAATTTTTAGACAAACCCATGAAAAAATCTGACAAAAATCATCCAAATGCCGAATATCGGGAGGTACCATTATATGGGGGCTACACCAAAACGTGGACCTATACATGCAATGTTTCGTCACCGGAGCTAGAACCCACAATGACCAACAAATACCAATTTTTAGACAAATCCATGAAAAAATGCGGCAAAAATCATCAAAATACCGAATATCGGGAAATACCGTTATATGGGGACTATACCAAAACGAGGACCGATATATGTAGTTTTTAATACCAACCATCCTAGACACAATACAAATTATTCTGCTAAATTTTTCCACTCTACGTCAAATAATGTGGCATGTATCGTGATTTCAACAGACAGGCAGACCAACAGACGGACATCGTTAAATCGACTTAGAATTTTATGCTGATTATGAATATATACATTATGGGGTCTGCGACGAATATTTAGACATGTTACAAACGGAATCCTCCTTTCCTAGGTGGAGGGTATAAAAACAAGTTAAAAAGTATCAGTCGATTTTGCCGACATATATATATATCCTCAGCCAATGTTCGATTATTTAAATATATTTTGACTTCGGTTATGATTATTCAAATTGATGACCCTCTATGGGTTAGGTTCCTAAGCATAGAGCCAATATTATCCATTTCGTATCGAACCTAAAAAAATATGATATAAATATAGCGACGTCCCGGGTTTAGACTATATTGGTTACTTTTTTAGAGAATGTTGAAATGTTGCGTGAGGTACCAGGTAAAGTAAAGGTAAAGTTCAAAGGATTAAATATGCTGAAGCATTTGTATATTTTCAATTCGGGCTTGTATTGCGTCTCTGGCGCACAATTAACTCGAAATCGGATATGGATATGTATGGGAGCTATATTTTAAAGATATTTCTGAGCTATATTTGATATATTTCTCTGAAAATCGTTGTTGCCGAGTGCACATTACGGCTGTGGGAAACAAATATAACAAATCGGATGAACAATATATATGGAGGTATTTTTATATCAGTACCGATATTCACCAAATTTGACATCTAGACTCAATTCGGTCAAAGTGTCAAATTTCATCCCATTTGGACAAATGTTAAACGTTTGGTAAACAATAAAAACAAGTCGGATGAAGTTATATATAGCAGCTATATCCAAATCTGACTCGGTCTCGATAAAAATTTAGCAAAGGTGTTTCTGGGCTGTATTTGATATATTTCCCCAAATATCGTTGTTGCAGAGTGCATATTACGGCTGCGGAGGACAAAAATAACAAATCGGATGAACAATATGTATGGGAGCTATAGCTATATCTGAACCGATTTCGATCAAATTTGGCATACTTATTTTCAAGCCTAATTTGGTCGTATGTTAAAAATTCCATACTATTTGGGCTGATATTTCACGTTTGGTGCACAATAAAAGGCAAATCGAACGAAGATATATATGGGAGCTATATCTAAATTTTTACCGATTATCTCCAATATCAAAAGGGTTCGTCCTTGGGCCAAACAAATGTTGTGTGGATAATTTCATCTCAATCGGATAATAAATGCGACCTGCATTTTGTTCACAGGAAGACATGGACAGACGGACGGACGGACGGACATGCATAAATCGACTCAGAATGTGATTCTATGCAGATCATCAAAAGGAACTATGGGTCTTTCTCGTTTCCTTTTGCCTGTTACAAACCAATGCACAAAGACATAATACCCTGACCACCTTGTGGTGTAGGGCATAAATATTGGCATAGGCCAAATCTACAAGGAAGTCGGACATTTATATCCAATTGTCTGCGAAATCATAAATACCATTATCATCACAGATTTCTGGTTGAGAGAAATTTTTAGAAATAGCAAGTAGTAAAGAATCGCTGACTTGACAGATAAAAGTATTGCAAATTGTGTCCCTTTGGTGGTGATGTACCAGAAGACGTTCGCAGATATATATCGCCCTCACAACAGATCTTGTATTAGCAAAAAAGTTTGTATGTTCGAATTTTGTAGAGAGTTTTATGCTTATTTCGCTTTCTTTGAGGGTTTGGTTTTTCCAAAATCTTGAACACCATGTGGGGGAAGTACCAGAAGAAATGGTCCGATCTCTGCCATCTTTAAAAGAGATCTTGTGTTGATGGAAATATTGAGATATACCAAGTGTGAAATGGAATCGGATCTTAATTTCGCGTTTTATGAGCTTCATGAATATTCAAAATTTTGAAATTTTTGCAGGGGAGGTACCAGAAGGATTGGACCGATCCCTACCGTTTTCATAACAGATCCTGTGTTGATAAAAATATTCAGATGTGCCAAGTCTAAATGGAATCGGATGTTAATTTCGTGTTTCTTGAGCTTAACGGTTATTCAAAATTTCGACATGTTTTAGGGGAGGTACCAGAAGAAGTGGACGATATATTCCATCTTAACACCAGATTTTGAGTTTACAAAAATATTGGGAGGTGTAAAATTCGAAGACAATCGGACTCTTATATCACATTTTACATGAGTTATAATTATTCAAAATTTTGATCCTTTGTGGCAGATATTATCCATTTTCTCTCCTGACCGAGAACTGAGGAAAATATTAGAATTTGCAAACTTGGGGCACAATATATCGGAAAATCGGACTCTTATATCACATTTTACAAGAACTGCAATTATTCAAAATTTTGACCCTTTGAAGGGGAGGAACCTAATGAAGTGGACCGATATTGCCCATTTTAGCACTAATACGAATATTACGATTTGCAAAGTTGGAGCAAAATCGGATTATCCTTTCACCTTCTGTGCAGTATAATATATTTTTTGGAAATTTCGACCTTTTGTGTGAGAGTTCCAGAAGGAGTGTACCGATATTGGACATCTCCTAACTCGATCTAAGTTTGACAATAATATTACGATGTACAAAGTTTGGACCAAATCGAATACTCCCTTCGAGAGTGATCATGCGCACTAACCAGTCAGACAGACAGACGGGTGGACAATTCTATATCGACTTCAAATGTTCTGAAACGGATTTGGTCCTATGAGACCTAGGGTCTAAAATCGTTACTTCGACTAGGCAAGTTTTAACCGTATCAAATGATACATACTCTCTCTAAGGCTTTAACAATATATCTGACATATAAAAATACTTTAATTCTGGGTAAACCTATGTGAGGCTATACCAAAACGTTGACCGACATGACTCATGTTTTGTAAAAATATGTAAAATATAACCCATAAGCCTGATCAAATTATCTCTCTCTCTTAAATTTTGCCAAGTATATTTCAAAAATGTTGATTTCGGCAGGATATAAATTATTTTCTTACTAAATCTCCAATTAACTCTACTATTTTCATTAATCCGCATATTGCACTGCCCCTTTATGTTTGGTATTTCGCCGATTGTAGTCGTAATGAATGTTACATTATGAGTTCTCATTAGACGGATTATTAACACATGAAAGAAGTAGGTCCACCATTTGATATGAACCCCACACAGCCATGACGTCCATTTTTATACCCTACACCACAAGGTGGTCAGGGTATTAAGTCTTTGTGCATTTGTTTGTAACAGGCAAAAGGAAACGAGATAGACCCATAGTTCTTTTTGATGATCTGCATAGAATCACCTTCTGAGTCGATTTATGCATGTCCGTCCGTCCATCTGTCCGTCTGTCCATGTATTTTTGTGAACAAAGTAAAGTTCGCATTTATTGCCCTATCCAAATGAAATTTTGCCCAGATCATTTGTTTAGCCCAAGGACGAACCCTACTGAAATTGGAGATAATCGGTAAAAATTTAGATATAGCTTCCATATATATCTTCGTCCGATTTGTCTATTATTGTGTACCAAACGTGTAATATCAGCCCGAATGGTATGGAATTTGCACATACAACCAAATTAGGCCTGAAAATAATTATGCCAAATTTGATCGAAATCGGTTCGGATATAGCTATAGCTCCCATATATATTGTTCATCCGATTTGTTATTTTTGTCCTCCGCAGCCATAATATGTACTCTGTAACAACAATATTTGAGGAAATATATCAAATATAGCTCAGAAATACATTTGCTAAATTTTATCGAGATCGGTTCAGATTTGAATATAGCTCCCATATATAACTTCGTCCGATTTACGTTTTATTCTGCACCAAACGTCTAATATTTGTCCAAATGGTATGGAATTTGGCACTTACGACCGAATTGAGTCTAGAAGCTAGTATGTCAAATTTGGTGAAGTTCGGTTCAGATATAGCCATAGCTCCCATATATATTGTTCATCCGATTTGTTATATTTGTTACCCATAGCCGTAATATGCACTCCGTAACAATGATATTCAGGGAAATATATCAAATACAGCTCAGAAATATCTTTGCCAAATTTTTTCCGTTCCGATTTGGATATAGCTCCCATATATAACTTCGTTCGATTTACGTTTTATTGTGCACTAAACGTTTAATATTTGTCCAAATGGGATGAATTTGGCACTTATGATCGAATTGAGTCTAGAAGCTAGTATGTCAAATTTGGTGAAGATCGGTTCAGATGGGAGCTATAGCTCCCATATATATTGTTCATCCGATTTGTTACCCACAGCCGTAATATGCACTCTGTTACAACAATATTTGGGGAAATATATCAAATACGGCTCAGAAATATCTTTACGAAATTTTATCGAGATCGGTTCCGATTTGGATATAGCTTCCATATATATCTTTATCCGATTTCAAATTAATTATGCACCAAATGGGCAATACAAGTCCGA